CAATGCATGTTTTGTCTTAACATAGTTTGGATTTTGGGAAACATTGTTTATACAAGTGCTAAAGCCACAGCATGGCTGTGACTCTAAACATTAAAAAATAACTTTTGTGTGGAACTAGTTGTATAAGATGTTTCAGAAAAAAGTTCAATGATCTTTGCTCAAAGATGCATTGGATAATAAATAATTTAGATGACTGAGATTGTTTTCCAATTATGAAGATTTATTTATTTTTTTAAACAGAGAACCCTAACTATTTTTAAAAACCTAAAGATTATGCGGTATTTTAACTTTTTAAAATTAGGTTTCTTTTTATGATTCTATGTGCATGAGTTTTCTGCTTGCATGTAAGTCTGTGTACCACATATGTGCCTGCTCTAAGAGGAGGTGGTGTACCTTCCCTGTGACGAATGGGAATCCAACCCCAGTCCTTTGCAGTAACAAGTGCTTTTAATCACTGAGCAAAATCTCCTTTAATGTTTTGTATTATTATTAGTAGTATTTTTTTTCAGGATAGCAAGAAGGGAGAGATACTTGAGTATAGATAAAGATTCCAGACTATACTAGAAATTGTTGGAAAATCAACCACAAACTTGTCAAAAAAATTTCCTCATCTCTAATGAGGAAAAGAAAAAAAGTGAGTTAAATGATGTGAAAATGTTTGTGAGAGGAAAAAAAAACCACTTTTCTGAGCCTAAACAATTCTTTCTGGTATTGGAAGTGTGTTATGGCAGTCATTTTCAGAGTGGTCCCTGAATTCCATGAGATAATTATTAGAAATGCTTATTAGTGGTCCCCATTTCAGATCTACTGAATGAGGAATTCTGGTAGGACTACATTTTAGATCACTCTGCAGAATGATTAACTTTGAGCACCATGTGTTAAAGTATTTGGATTTGTAGTCACAGGCCTATTTAAAGTGTAACTTTCAAGACTATTTTTCATTATGATGTTAAGATAACTCTTGTAGTTTTCTAACTACAGCTGATCCATCAGCTGTGTGCTGAGGAATGAGTCATACAATCTGGAGTTCTACTGTGCATCATCACAAAATAGCACTTAGAATACTGGAGAGTTGCTAGCAGGAAATCTTAAGTGGTCTCTCAAAAATCATAAATATATGAGGTAAAGGATATATCATTTACATTTATTTAAATATTTAACAATGTATACAGCTATGTTCAGCATATGAATTCACAATTTGTCACCTATCATTCGATTGAGTCATACTTAGCTATATCATACTATTACTAGATAGATAGGATTTGATCTATTTGGAACACTAATATATTTGACATTGTGATGTTACAGAAAAGAACATGGACTTTGAAGTTTCATATGGGAAACCTTCTTGGATAATTTGAGTACACATTTAATGCCTAGCAACCCAACTTAAAATTTAAGAAACAAGTTGCTCAGAGATATAAAGATGGATGTGCAATAATGTTATCATGGCTTTTAATTTTGTTTTTTGAAAAAAGATCTCACATGACACCAGGTTGCCCTTGATATATCTACGTAATAATGATGACCTTGAACTTTTGATCTTCCTGTCTGAACCTCCCCGTGTTTGAATTGTAGTCAGGTACCACCATCCTGGACTTTCTAATTGTTTCTAATAACTAATGGTAAACTACTACAATGTCCATTAATTAAATAAATCATACTAGATAATTCTAATAAAAATGTAAATATCAATTAAATTTATGATTTAGATGTTGCTGACATGAACTTTTACACTAACTATGATTAAGTGGTTAAAACTGTGTTTATAAAGTCATATGTATATAGAAGTCAAATTCACTTAAAATGGCTTTATAAGAATTAATTTATAAATCAGTATACATAAAAAAGTTTCCTGGAAATTTTTGAATGAAAATGTTGAGCCTAATAACTCTTGTATATATAAATGTCTGTGTATGGATAAAATCAGACTGTATGAGAATCTCAGGCTGAGTATTTTACATTAATAAAATTTGTTTTGTCTTTGTTTACCTTGGTTTTATAATAGAGCTCAGTTTCTTATGTGTAGTAATTATGAAAGATTAAGAATAACATAATTAAGTTTTTTAAAAGGCAGCTTCTTATACAATTTTATCATCATGTACTAGAATCATTCATTTTAAATTAGTGTGTTTTCCCTGGAATAGTTGGAAGGAAGAGATCCCTCTTGTTTTAACAGTTCAGTGTCAAGGTTAATGGTCTAAAACCTGGCATTGGTTCATTTCTGAACATTTGTGCTATTGTATAATTACAAAAATGTGCTTTCCATCTTCAAAGTTCCTGTGTTGAGAGCCAAGAGACCCCAGTTCAGCCATCACCACTATCTTTCTGTGTGAATTTAAACTTTTAGTTTTCCCTATTCTGGCATTGTTTTCCTCTTTTAAAAAGTCTCTGATTCTTATCTAGATGCCTCTACCAGCTCTATAATTTTGACATTTATAATATATCTAGAAATGTAAATCTCCAGAAAATGATTATGAAGTATGGAAGCTTAAAACAAGAATAAACCAAGTCTTCTAAAATACTGTGGAGAGGATTTTGTTTCTGAAGTTCAAAGGATGCCTATTGATCTCTCCTTTAATTTTTCTATTAATGAGGTTTCAAACAAATCTGAGTGTCTATGTATTTGAACATTGGTGTACTTATGACACCTGGTGGTCAAGCCAAACATCACAGCGAAATTCTAATCCCCAGACACTCACTCATTCCCATTCATTCTCTTCCTCTCAGAGACTTCCTGTCTCTCACATTTAATTGTCTTTCATAAAATTAATCATACAACAAACACTCAACAGACACTTCAAAGATTCAAGACACTCTATTAGACTTTTATTTTGGGAGGAAAAGATGTAATAAGAGGGTAAGTATTTGGCACATAGGAGATTTCTAGCTATTTCACACAGCAAGACCACCTGGAAAGAAAAGTGATCTCATCATGCCAGAAATATTATGTGATACTCACTAAAAAGAATGGACAGAATTATGGAGATGGTGAATTCAGAAAAATGACTTTTTTAGCTTGTGAATGTCAAAAAATGCTCTACGGAGGAAGTGACTTTTGTCTTTTGGAAGCCTCAGTTTGTTCATTTGACAAAACAGCCATTATGTATCATTGTTTCTTAACATTGGTGTCAAAGATTGATAGAGTTTACACACAGTTCTTATTATAGCATCTGACCAAAACAAACATTTAGTATTTGTTATTAATGCTTATAATGAAACCAAAGATGGTAGAATTTGAATACTCCACCTCATTAGTGTTTGTAAGTATTTTTAAAAAATTAGCCTGAATATAAACAATACAATATCAATTATTTCACTTAGTCAGGAAAATTATAAAAAGGTGACAGTGTTGTCTCTGTTTACACTCAACTGAACCAATTGCCCCATTCAGCTGCATATTTAACTCAGTGAAAAAAAAATCAAAGTAGCTGTTTGCCTGAATGACCTGGTTGTTTGACTAAGCCCTGAACTTTCAGCTCAGTAAATACAGTTTATCCAAGAGTTACATGCACTCACTGCAGAGACATCAAATGGGTTTTAACACTGTATGGGCTTTGTCTGAGTTGACCACATTTTTACAATTTTTCATTGGCTGTGTCTAAGTTTGTACACATGGTCTGAGACCCTATATTACTTTCCAGACTAAATCAAGACCCATTGCAATATATGCATTTTACTTGACCACTTGAGTACTTGTTACCATTAAGCCTGTCTCATTTTTTAGCTTTATTAAATGTATATCCCTTTCAAGTACTAAAAAGTAAAATGCAGCATTAAAATATTCTTTATTCTTTTGTGTTTGAAATCAGAGTATATAAAACATATTTCATAAAATATTATCAAACATTTATCAGTTAAACTTTTGCTTCAGGGATAAAATAAGCTGTACTGTAGTGGCTTTTGGCCAAAAGTAATAATGATATAACATAAAACAAAACTAAGAACAAGGAAAATGTCATATTAGGGAAATTAATGTTTAATCTGGATAAGGAAGATTTGAGAAAAGACATGATTGTTATCTTGAGATATCTGAAGAGCTTTTATGTCTACCAGGGAGTAGACTACTTTGTCTTTTTGACAGGAATAACTAAGTTGAAACAACATAGGAACAGATTTGAAGTCACTAAATAGATGGAAGATATTTCTAAGATTTATGATCACTGAAAACACAACATTTACATGAATAATTTTCACTGGAATTGAGAGATAAAGGGAAGAAACCACTGCTTGCTTCATGCATGACAGGATACCATCTAGAGCTTCTGGTAGTTGACTGAAATTCTGTGAAGATAGTTGCAGTGTATATAAGTGTCTGAAGCTGCCATGATATTGCTAATAAATAGAACTTTTGTGAAAAGAGCTTATAGAAGGTATTACAAACAAAACAAACCATGCTTTCAGTAAATATTGAAGAAGGGAACTCTGTTTTTCCCAAGACCATATCAGCCAGAAAGCCTGGTGACCTGCCAATCTTTGGTTAGAGCCTTAATCCATGAGTCGTTCACATGAATTCATAGCTCACCTTAGCAACCATCTAATAATTTATAAGGTAGCTATTGGACATGGATTAAGATTTTATTTACCCATAGATGATGACAGTAACTCTGCTAAATCTCAAACTTTAGGCAGAAACAGTTATACACATCCAACATGGAACTTCACATGGGTGTTGGGATATTTGTCTGGGGGCTGTTTGTCCATGAGATCTTGGATGTTGGTTAGCTATGAAACTTTGGTAATTTTTTGTCAGAATAAAATCCTAGCTAAAGTTGTCAAAATAAGGATCTTAAAAGATCATGAAAACATTCTTGAAAATATCTTCATTACTACTATTTATCTTTTGGTAAATTGCTACACTATTTTAATTTTACATAGATGAGAGCTTTCAAATTTATGAAAGTACATATTTAAACACCTCTGTGGTAGAAATACAACCAATGTACATATTCACAAGTTTTGACATGCTTCTGACTCTATCTTTGTTCTATTTTCCACAGAAATCATCATGCAAAGGCTTTTCCTAAGGAAGGAACATAAACACTCAAGATGGGAAGTAATAGCATAAACAATATGAGAGTAAACTATACTTATATACAGGTGTTGTTTCTGTACTCCCTCTTTGCAACCACCTATATCTTTTGGCAGAAGCCATAATTCCACAGTTTTCCTTGCTGAAGATACCGAGATATTCAAGATGGGCAGCAATAGTACCAGCACTGCTGAGAGTAATTGCAATGTCACTTATTTGACATTTCAGTACTCTTTGTATGCGACCACCTACATCTTCATATTCATCCCGGGTCTCCTGGCTAACAGTGCAGCCCTGTGGGTTCTGTGCCGCTTCATCAGCAAGAAGAACAAGGCCATCATCTTCATGATCAACCTCTCAGTGGCAGACCTTGCTCATGTCCTGTCCTTACCTCTTCGGATTTACTATTATATCAATCGTCACTGGCCGTTCCAGAGAGCCCTTTGCCTGCTGTGCTTCTATCTGAAGTATCTCAACATGTATGCTAGTATTTTTTTCTTGACCTGCATTAGCCTTCAGAGGTGCCTCTTTCTCCTCAAGCCATTCAGAGCCAGAAACTGGAAGCGTAGGTACGATGTAGGAATCAGTGCTGCTGTCTGGATCATTGTGGGGACTGCCTGTTTGCCACTTCCCATCCTGAGAAGTGCTGGCTTAGCCAATAACAGTGAATCCTGCTTTGCTGATTTAGGGCTTCACGACATTAGTATGGCTTCGTCCATTGGTATGGTAACTGCCGCTGAACTTGGAGGATTTGTATTGCCTGTTGTAATAATTACATATTGCACATGGAAAACGAGAAAATCTTTACAGGAATTCCAAGATCCACCTCAGAATATTAAGGAGAGGAAAAAGGCTTTGAGAATGGTTCTAATGTGTGCAGTGGTATTCATAGTCTGTTTCACTCCTTACCATCTCAACTTCCCGTTCTTTATGATGGTAAAGCAACGTGTTTTCTCAAACTGTTCCTTTATTAAGAGCACTCTGTGTTTCCATATCATTTCCTTGTGTCTTGCAAATCTGAATTGTTGTCTTGATCCAGTTGTGTATTATTTTATGACTTCAGAATTTCGTGATCAATTTTCAGAACATGGGAGTTTGGTCATCCAGTCATGTTTGCGTTGTAAGGACAATACTTTAGAAATTCGTCAGAGGAAGGAGAATCTTCAGACTATCTCACTGGAATGTTTGGATGCTCCAACACAATGTGATGAAATGGTTATCTAAAATAATCTTTATACTCTGTCACTTGAGCCATTTCAAAGTGATACTGGGTATCATGAAGAAACTCAGGCACTTCATTCAAAATAATCTGTCTACAGGAGTTCTCTATGCCAAGATTATTAGTGGACTATGTGAGAAAAAAACTGTCTTCACACAATATAATAATCAAGAGAAATAACCACATACCTGTTCCTCAGTAGTGGGGCCAATAGTCTCATCTTTAACTGAGAAAAACAAAATATATTAAAATCTAGCAGACATGTACAAGTTATCCCAACCTTAAAAAGTCTACATTAGAATATGTCCCTATCTTTATTTAGAAAACATACACTACTTCAGCCAATTGTGTTACAGAGAGATGGCTTTTCATATTGATATGAATTATGGAAATTAGCAACAGTATAACTTAAAATATCTATAAGATTATCTTTTCCCTCACTTTGAAGAAAAAAAATTAATTCCAATGAACCTTTCAAAATTACCTTAAGCCACAGACAATGCAAACATCTGAAGTAGAATTGTGCTCTGCATATTTAAAAATGATGTTAAAGGCTTAAAACAAAAACTCTGAATGGCTATGAGTTTGTGACATGATATGTATTTTTGTTTACTGTCACTAATTGGGAAATATTCTCATATATCTTTATTAAGATCAACCTGTCTAGGTGTATTGTTTCCTATGTAACTTCACTCAATACATTTAAATCAACAGATTAATGAAGACTTACACAACTCGTACAGTTTTTATTTTGGTAAGGTTTAGTGAGCCTAATTATTTTTTAAGTAGAATAGACCAATGAACTGAATCAAATTTTATGATTAATGCAGAACAATTATTGCCACTTAAAAAGACCCCTAGCTCAATTATTACTAATATAAATCATCCACACTGGAAAATTTAAATCTTACCATTTTCAAATATTGGATGTCATTAAAATGAAATTTTATAAAGCAATGGTTAGTTTTATAAATTACTGTTTTTGTCTTGTCTCTACTTTTTTGGTGTCTACTTTTTCAAGTAGCCTTTAGTTTTTATTATATTTTTGAGTTAGCATATAAAGAAATGAATTTCATGATATTTTCATATGCATATATCACCATACTTGGTTCTTATTTACTTCCCACAGCCTTCCCTTGGCTACCCTCCAATTCCTGCTGTTGCCTTCCTTCTAAATTCTCTGTTTTGCACTCTTGATACAAATGTTTATTACGTCTTGTATTTTATTACCTCCATTATCATACTTTGTATGCATCCTGTTTACATCTCTCCTTCTCCTCTCTACTTTTATGTTTTGAATGTATTTCATATATTATAAATATATAAATAAAATGTGATGTTTGTCTGACTTATTTTGCTTTAACACACTGATCTTCAGTTCCAAAAATGTTGTAATTTAATTCTTCTTTACAGATAAATAAAGTTCCATTGTTTATACTTACTGCATTTTTGGATCCATTCATACATTGATGAATATGTAGACTAGTTCTATAGCTTTTCTATGGAGAATAAACATGCAATAAACATGCATGTGTAACTAACTATCTGTGATATGATTTCCTATAACCCTTGAGCTATATATCTAGAAATAGAACAAATAATTGGATCTTGTTTTTAGATAAAATTAGCTAATCTCTTTTTGTTGGTTACTAAAGGCCATTTACATTTAACATTTATTATTAACCGAGGTCTGTTAATTCATTTAATTTAGTTCGACATGTTTTGGGGTGCTTAAATTTTATTATTGGTTCTTTTTGTTCTTTCCTATTAGAATTAGAGGTTTTCTGTGTTGGACATGATAGATCCTTTCCTCACTCTCATAAAATGTATTATTAGATGTATTATCATAAAAGACTGTCTTCTTTTCTGTGGGGTCTGTGTGTGTGTGTATGTGCTGTATGCATGTCTTTGAGTGTGTGCGCACTGTGTGAAGATAGCAGATAGAGTTTTGACATTATATGTCTTCCTTGATCTCTCTCAATTTTATGTTTGAGACAGAATATCTAGTCCTGCATCAGTACTTTGCTGGACTAGATAGCCAATGAGAAGAATCTGCCCTTCACCTCAACAGCACTAGAGTTGCAGGTGCCTGCTGTTGAGCCTGGCTTCTGTGTAGGTGCTGGGGATCAAACTCCATATACACAATGAACTGTTTGAGGATCACTCAGGGTCATTATTATAAACATCATATTGTGATTCATTGCTTGTTTGTTTCTATAATACTACAACTACCACCACCACCACTACTACTACTATTACTACTAATAATGGTGGGGCAGTAGGAAGGGATCATTCAGAATGATTGAGGCCGGGCCCGATTGGCCTCACTGGGGAAGCTGGAGGAGTATGGACTGCCCCGCCTGCAGGTAGATGATGTTCCGAGAGTGGGAGAGCTGGTACACCATGTCCTCAGTGGCTTCTAGCTTCCATAGCTCAATGAGGCCATCACCTGCTATGGCCAGCGAGTTCGTGATCAGCTCAGCTGCCTTGGAGTCACCCTCAGCAGAAATGATGGCTGCTGCCTACTACTGCTCAGCCGTTTCCACCACAAATCTGGCTGTCTCCGCTTCCTGCTGAGCCACCTGTTTGGCTTCTACTAACTCTGTCAACTGCTCCCAGAATGTCAGATGTGTCAGGGACACGTCATCCAGGATGAGCCCAAATGTTGCTGCTTGCTCTGTGAGGTCATCGATTACCTGTCTGGAGACCAGCTCTCGCTGGGTAATCAATTCTCCAGCATCAAAGCTAGCCACCACCGACTTGAGGATCTCTGTGGTGATAGATGGCAGGACCCACTCATCATAGTCCTTGCCTATGCTGATGTAGATATGAGGAAGCTGGCTGGCCACTGGCCAGAACAGGATGCACAGTGTGATGTTGACGTTCTGCAAGTCTTTGCTACCAGTGATGACCAGTGCATTCCATGGTTGAGAGCAGTAGTCAAACATAATTGGTTTCTGTGCCCAAGGGATGAGAAAGTAAGTTGGTCAAAGATGACAGCTTTGTGCCCAGCATCCACATTATATAAATCAGAGTTTACCACGCCTTCTGCAATTGGTAACGCCAGGCTGAACTTTCCTATGTACTTAGTTTGGCAGCTATGACTCTTTCTGTTGCATCCACTCAGACCTGCTTTCACTCTGACCTCCACATCAATCCCCCCTCTTTATAGTGTTTGTATGTCTAGCTTTTCAAAATAAAAGCTCTCATATTTTCTCTTGTTAATAAGCCTGTTCTCCACAAACCCCAACTTGCTTAAACCCTTATAATCTGTGACTTTGAATCAAGATAACTAGCACAAATTATTAACAAAAAGAAGAAAAGCACAGCTTTTTAAAATGTTTCATTTGAAACATTCATCTGTTGTGATGATGAAATCTCCTATGGAACAAAGTGAGTGGGTTTTAGTTTATGGACTTTATGATATTTATTTTTGGTAATTCAAGATTATTTCCTGTCCTTCTTGGCTCTATCAGCTGTGCTTAAAAAGGTGAAGTTGCCAGACATTATAGTAGAGGTCTGAAAAGTTAAGCCATCATTAGTTGTTTTTGATACCTAGAACATCTTGGAATATATATGTATGTATATATACACATATATATGTACATGTAAATGTACACTTACATATACATAATTAATTTTCCAAAATCATTACTTGCTTCATCAAGAACTAGTATTGCTTTTAGGGAGTTTGCTTTTTCTTTGCTCTTTGTATTCTTTTGTTCTTAGGGAGTTTGTTTTCTTAAAGAAACTTCAGTCATCATGGGCACTTCTCCCTACCTCTTTAGGAATACTTTATAAAAGTTCCCCTACACATTTGAAGTTTTATTTCAGATACAATCCATTTTTGAAAACTGGCCTATTACTAGCGTGGATAATGAACATTATTCATCAGATTCGGAGAAACATGCTTGGGTGTACACACACACACACACACACACACACACACTCATGCACACCACACACACACACACACACACACAGACAGAAACACAGAGACATAAAGAGACAGAGAGAATGAGAGAAACAGAAAGAGACAGAGAAATAAAACCTCTGAACATTTTTTAAGTTATAAGAACTCTCCAAAAACATACTGTTCAGTAGGTCTTTCAGATCTTGAGGAGGAGCTATGTATAGATACCCTGATCCAGTATTTGGGGGGCTATACATTTACTCAATCCTGTCTTTTGATTTCTTGTTTTAAAACATAGGTGAAAATTTTTTAAATTGATTGGAACTGTGTATGTAACTAATTGATAGTACTTAGAATTGGATCCTAGTATCAATTCTTCCCTTTCTTTCTTTCTTTCTTTCTTTCTTTCTTTCTTTCTTTCTTTCTT